TATAGCTAAAGGATGAAACACAGACTGCATTCAAAAGTGTCTTTTTGCATATAATACTTAAACTGATCCCTTATGTGCTACTCTATTATTTGATATAATAACTGATCACAATGATATCCTTTATGATATTACGCATAATCAAACGCACCTTATCCTAGCATAAGCATAAAGGAGATAAACTGCCGTATTGCCTCGATCATCAAGCATCTGAAATGGGATGAACATTTGGCCACAGTTGTATGCTTGCAAATATATCGCACTGAATCATGAAACTCTATGAGAAATCTGCCAAAGTCTGTATGAGATGGGCAAATCCCGGCGGAGTAAAAAGTCCTGCTTTCGACGAGGATAATAAAAACCGCTTTTCCCCACATACAGGCAGTCCCAGAGCCTCAAAGTAAAAAAGTGCCGCACCCCTTTGCAACATGAAGCATAAAATTTGTAAGAGAAATATATGCGAACCTAAGAAATCCCTAAAACAGTGAAAAGAGTAGTACCTTGTCGAATGAGAAGACATAATCTTGCGTACGAGTCTGCGATAAATCAGCATACTTTATGCAGCCATAAGCAACAGCATCACGAGCAGCGGCCAGCTCCTCCGTAGACATTACCTGCATAAGCATACAAGTTTTTCCTCTGAGTTCCAAAATGAACCACAAAAAGAACTAGTTCCCCACTGGTTTCTAGTAATTTTACTTGAGAGAGACACTTCGAACGCGAAAATTAACTGAACCTTATTTCGCTCTTTTTCTAGTAGCTTCGCTTCTGCTCTTTTCACTCCTTCGTCCAGCAAATCTGTTAGCCGCACTGTATCACCCGAACGAGTTTTGAACTTCTTCCTGAAATAAAAGGCAAGTGAAATTTTTGAGTCTCAGGCACTACTGAAAGCAGATAATTTATTGAGAAAACCCAAGATCTCCACAATTTATCCTTAAGTTGAACACACTTCTTCAGCATTGTCTCGAGCAAAATGATTTTTTTTTAGAATATTTTTCACCGAAAGTTATTTGGAGTAAACATTCTAAATGCATAAAGTACAGCTCATAGAGAGAAACAAGGCGCAAAAACGGAACATACTTGTCTTCACCGAGAACCAGACCAAAGCTAACATGTTCCACTCTTTTCTCAAGCGGTGAGTACCAGCCAAGTTTGCGGCCGGCAGCATACAAAAGCTGAAAAACGAAACGCCGTAGTTTACTATTTCTTCGAGCCTTCCCCTTAGTTTTGATATTCCAGGACGCTTTTCGGTCGGTCCGAGCAAAGCCAAAAAAGCCGTGACTGGAGAATAAGAAGCCCATCCAGTAAGAATATGAAAAAAATGGCAACATAACACAATACTCCACATCAACTGTTTAAAATTGTCTTAAAAAAGTAAGGATAGATTACTTTAGAAATATATACATAAAAGTAGGAAACTAACATCAAAATGTAAACTTTGGCCAGCATCAACAACATAGATAACCCAGTCAGCTTTTTCAACGTGTAATCGTTGCTTTAATGCTGCTAAATCAGACGTGTCATAGGTAAAACCGCCATCCGATTTGACAACAGTCAATGGGACCTCGTCGCCAACTCGTAAAATCTTTCTTCCTTCATCAAACTCTAATTCTCCTATAAAAAAAAGGCTACATCTTAAACTTTCCAAAGAAATTATAAGCACTTTTTTCTCTCAATGCGTCAGTGCTTTCTAAAACAGAACAACAAATATTATACACACTGCTTTCCCATTCTT